GGGTGGTCTGCCTTTCAGCTTCTGAAACGAAGAAAGGCGGAAGTTATTTGCTTCAGAGTTTGATGTGCCCATAACTCATTCATAAGTAGCAGATCAGATGGGCTGTCGAAAGCAGAGGCTTCTGGCAGAGGTTTAGTGCAGAAGCAGGACGAAGACGTTTTCAAGGAAGCTTGTAAAACTTTCTTCGTACCACTATATATAGAAGGAACGAAAGGCAAAGGGCATCAGAACCTTCAAATACTCCTAAGCCGAGAGAGAAAAAGGATAAATGAAGTCGGGGGCTATGTATGTATTTGATGTATTAAAGTTGAAATATCCGTTTAATGGGCTTCTACACCATGAAACTATTCCACTACTCTCACTCGTTTGTTTTGGAGATCATTAAAATGTTTTGCCAGCTCCCAAAACGACTATTTGAAAAGCTCGATTGTTCCCGAGCATTTAAGCATTTGGATTCTTTTCTGACTCTTTTCCCTTCGACAAGATCCAACAGACAAACCTACGATATAAACAAGGGTTGAGAAGCTCCCAATAGGAGATTTACCAGTTGTCTTGAGCAGCGTCATAACAGTATCGACACTACTCAACAAACTTACATCTACCATGAGGGAGAACAAGCTTTACCCTGAGACGCTGGACTTTTCTCCTAAAGTGAGGATGAACTCCAATCCCATCCACTTTTTCCGATTTTCGAGGTTACAATGAAAAAGATGGATGGAGTGGTGAGTTGAAGAAGTACAGTTAGCCTGTAAAGCTTCAGTTAATTACCCGTCTGGACCGAAGTGGAAACAACCTGATTTTGCACTATATCTGAAATTACTTATTTGAAATAATCTGAGGGCGTAGGCAGAACGAAAGCAAATAAGACAGAATGATGATGATTACTGCTTTCCGTGAATATCCTTACAATGGCCTCTAATCCTTGCGATATCGAAGGGTCGCAAGTGTCAGTATCAAAGAGAGGTCGCAGTATCAAAGAGAACAGTGTCGCGAAGCAGTCTTCTTGTAATGTCCCACGCACTTTTTTGGCTCAGGTCTCCGTTGGCTTCTCAAAGACAGTTTTCCCTACAATGAACTACGAAGTAGAAGATCCAATCTCTCAAATGAGCCTGATTACATTAACCATGACCTAGAAGAAGGGAAAACTTGTTAGGCTCTTGAGCAGTATTCACTGAAGAAGCCATTCTTAAGACGACAGTTATGCAAACCCTCGGCAATTTTTCAAGAACGCCCTTCCGTAGTCATGACGGAGAAGAAAAATCTCAGGAATCCGTTGTCGTAATGTAGAAAGCATGTAAAAAAGTAAACCCTCAGCCAGGAAGCCTGGATTTGCTTTGCACTCCTTAGAGAGCTTTAACAGCTGAAAGCTCATTACCTGTGCCAAAGAAGAAGCAGGTGTAGATGTGTAAACGTACATGCTTATATGTAAATAGCTGCAAATATAATTGTTTTCGAATAAATCTTGAAGTTACTGCACATGGGCACGGCGATTATGAATGCCACGCCATCTAGTCAATGCATGATGTTCACTTCCCAGAATTTTAGCGAAACGCACTGCTTCGAGCCAAATTGACAACAAGCATATAGGAAAAAGAGAGAATGTTCGAAAAAACCCCAGTATCTATGGATCACTGCGTAAATTCAGGCAGCATCGAAAGCCGTAGCCGGGTTCGGGGTCATTATGGTTCAAGTTCGGTGTCCCCAAGCAGTTTCATTCTTATTTAACTATGAATCCTATTTTCAGTCACCATGGCTAACAATATTCACCATTGCTTTCACTAATAATCAGCCTTGAATGTTCAGATTCTTACAGACCTTTTCGAAGCTCTCGAAGACCCGTATCGCCTACTTCTTGTAAGACCAATCCCTCCGCCTCTCTTACTCGTCCGGTTAGCCTAGGAGTGCCGTTGTTAGCCGACTATGTACAGCACTAAGAAAACACAAAAGCGTGTTCGAGCTGAGAGCTCCCAACGAAGCAAATTCGACCAGAGCTCGATCAAGAAGGCCGAAGTTGATGTAACTGAATGACTGCCATCCAATATTGTCCTCTCCTCATTCATGTTTTATTTCATTTGGTGGCAGCTGTAAAACGCTTTGACGTCAAAGAACAATTGGCAGTTAAAAGTAATCCAATCAAACCGCTCATCGTTTATGCCAATGACATTTTGAAAGATAAGCAGAAAAAAAGGACCATAGAATTTAACGTTACTAAAATTGCTCTGGAGAATTGCCCAAAAAAGAGAATCTTCCCGATCCATGTGTGCACAATTGAAGCCCTTAGTTACCATATACAGAATGAATGCAGGTTCGAATTAAAAAATCACTTTTGCAAAAGAGCTACTTTTACAGTTCTTTCAAGTGCTCACCGGCGTTCCTGCCCTATAAAATTGGACCCTTCAGATCCACTGGAATCCTCTAGGCGCCATGAACCATTGCCTGCGAACGTAGTTAGTCTTTAGGTATTGTTTGTGCTAGCCTCAAAAAAACCTCCCCCATTTCAATTTTCCCCTATTTCATGGTCATGCTAGGAGACGGCTTCCAGGATTCCCAACTGACCCGGAGCTCCCGTCAATCACCCGCAATCTTATCAAAAACTAGAAGGATAATGTCTGTTAGTTAAAACTCTAAAGCCAACACATGAGGGAGGTTGGTACGCCACAGGCTCATTTCCTTACCACTTCTTGTTCGATCTACGGCTGGTCGAAGAGACTTTGCGACTTTTCGAACTTTGCTAATGAGCACAAAATTATTATAAGAGAAAGAATCCCGCGTGTAGCCAGGCAGCGTCGTGGGAGCAGCAGAAGATGTTTTGGAGTTCATAAAATCCAAGGGGGTAGGACCATTTCTCGCGGCTTGATTAAGGGATTACTAGTACTTTCTTAAAGGATAAAAGAAACGCGTTGAAAATCACCTCATAGCGGCATTGAATGTACTGTGAAAAGTGCTACATGGACTAGCTGGGCCCACCATCAACCTCATCGTCAACTATTCCATCTACATTCTTTTTTTAAGGATGAGCTATGACCACGGAAAGTTCGTGTGACAGATACTAAATTTCTCAATCCAAAAGTTACCCCTTGATTCGTTTTCCGGCGAATGGCATGTGGATAATCGATATATATTCCTTGGGGATAGCTCTGTGGCTCAGAATCCTTATTACATACAAGACTATCAGGAGAGTATGTTCCCTCTCACTTCACCACTATGTGAAATGATGAGGTATCCATGCCCTATAT